CTACTGACATCAGGACCGCGGGCGTCTTTGAGACTCTCAGCCGTAAGAGAATTTCTCTTAGATGAACTAAGGCCATCATCGCACTTCTACCGTGTGTGAATCAATACTGATGGTCGTGAAAATGCCCGTGCTTACATAGGAAGTGATAGAGGCGGCTGCTCAAGAGTCGTTCCCGGATCTTGCCCAGAACCGAATTCACACATATCGGCCTATATGACGTTGTGAGCTCGGGGGGCCGGCCGGTTTTCGGAATGAAGATTATCCTGCCGCGGCGCCAACAGCGAGAGAAATATCCAAGCGTGAGCGCTCCGTTGAGTACGAACATTACGAACCGCGCGTGCAATTTAAATAGGCCCTTCACGAGGGGCGGCGTTATTGCGTCCAGCCCCGGCGACGAACGCAGTGGCATCGCCCCAATCACCTCGCGTACCTCTGCCTCGGTAAATGGGACATCTACCTCGTTGAAATCGTATGACTTTGCAGCCATTTGCCTGGCCTCGTCGTGCTCGGGCAAGTCTTTGCTCGGGTCATCCACCGCGATCTGCGTTTCAAGTAGGAGGGCCGCCGACTCGAGATGTGTCGAGGTCATCGAGCCGTCAGCTCGCTTCAGCGGGGGCAGGAACCTTGGTGGGCGGTTTCTGCCAAAAGCTTCTCTACATGACGTCGAAAAGACTTTTCCGCGCGAACACGCCATATGGCATTCTCTTTCGTATTGGGCCTTTGCCTCCGCGACCCACAGACGAAACCGTGCCAATGCGCGACTGTAGTCCATTTTGAGGAGGGCCCTAACGTCGTCGCTTTTTGCTCTTTGAAAGCGTCTCCGCATGGCGTTTACCTTCTTACGCTCTTGTGCCAGAGCTGGTGTCCACCAAGAGTTTCCCCTGGCGTTCGACTTAACTGGCCTGAGCTGGCGTCGCAGGTGTTTCGAAAATTGCATAAAAGGCCCCCAAGATGAAATCTAGTGCCTCTGGGGACCGTGGTTGCGAGCAGATGATCTTCGCGAACCAGGGCTCCCTCTCTAGCGAGCGCAAGAGCTCTTGCTGTGCGTATCTTGTAGGCGTTTGCCGGCTACACTTTCGTCGGATCCTATTCCCACTTCTATGTTCTTATGTTCTGAATATGTGACATCGGAGCGTACGATCCATGTGTATCCCGCCATCAGGACCGAGGGCGTCGCCAGGGTCGGATCGATCCAGCTGGCGGCGTATGCCGTCTCTTAAGTCAGCTCGGACTGTGGGTCATTCATGACGACCAGGCCTGCCGCGGCCGCGAACTTCATGACCTGTGCGCCCCTATCGTCCCCGGCTCTGGGACCCCACGCTCGGTGCTTGGCGTTAAAGTTACCGGCTACAATGGCGTGTGGAGAACGCGACTGCGACACCACTTTCTGAACCACCCGGAGTGTCGTGTTCATCGGCTTATGTGGCGGAGCATAGACCGACACTATAGTAAAGTGGGAGTCGCGATATTGCCCATAGACTCCCACCACATGTTTCGACAACATCACGGGGCACAGGTCGAACGGTGGCCACCTCACCAGTACGATAGCCGCCGGGTCTTCCTCGCAGGCAAAAGCCGTAAATCCCGCAGGTAGGCTGGGCATTTTCCCCTTCGGTGTATATGGGTCGCACGCTACCGCGATGTGTGTGTCGGTCTCTATCATGCGATCGCACAAGTTACTCAGACAGAACCTGGCGTGATCCAAGTTGACTTGCATGAACGCCAGACGCAACAACCCTCCCCGTAGCCCCCCCATGGCGCCACTCTTGCCGTTACGCGCCGCCATAGTGCGTGCGCGTCCTCAGCCTCGCCACCCTCTCTAGTAGCAACGGGCATCCCGAGAAGCCGGTCGGGTGTCCAGCCGCCTCCAACCCGACCCGGCGGCAGGCCGCGCAACAGACCGCCGGAGTGGGCACGACAGAGGCGCCGAGAGCATGATTCTCAGGAACCCTTTCTTGCTTGTTATTCAGGTGCTGCTTCATGTTCGTGCCATCTGCGCACCGGCGTTTCCTTGTACCGAGACGCAACCAGCAAGATATGCTGCCTGGAACACGTATCCGCCCGTGTATGGGATCGACACCAATTCTTCAAGCCTGCGCACTACTACTCCGTTCCTGGCGGCGCATCGAGTACCACCATCAGCCACGTCATCGACACCAACGGATATAAGAAGAAGCGCTCGGCCGGTACCGACCAGTGGGCACGACAGAGGCGCCGAGAGCATGATTCTCAGGAACCCCTTCTTGCTTGTTATTCAGGTGCTGCTTCATGTTCGTGCCATCTGCGCACCGGCGTTTCCTTGTACCGAGACGCAACCAGCAAGATGTGCTGCCTGGAACACGTATCCGCCCGTGTATGGGATCGACACCAATTCTTCAAGCCTGCGCACTACTACTCCGTTCCTGGCGGCGCATCGAGTACCACCATCAGCCACGTCATCGACACCAACGGATATAAGAAGAAGCGCTCGGCCGGTACCGACCAGTGGGCACGACAGAGG